CCCAGCCGTCGCGGGAGACACTCTGGGCGTCGGAGATCGGCCGACCACAGGCCACCGTAAGTGCGGGTCTGTAGACGAAGAGCAAGGGTAGCTCGCCACCCGACCAGAACCAGTCCCGTGCATACTGCGCGCGCCTTACAGAGCCATGACACCATCATAGATGGAGCCCAGTAGGGCTGATGCTCGATACGGTGCCGTGGGAGGCCTAACGAGTTGACGGGGCTCCGGCTCGACGAGCAGGAGTAGGAACGGAGTGGATTTTAGTCAGTAAGAATCTGTCACTCCCTCTCACCTAACCCAAGGCGGGAGAAGTGATTGGATGATTTTCCGACCTCAAAAAAAATCTCCTTTAGGTAATGACAACCCGATGTGTAAAAAACCACCAAAAAAACTCCTTATATTATTGGTATTGATTACGCTGTGGAAATTATGGACAATAGAGCCAAAGGGGTGTATTAAGTCTTATAGAGGACATTAATATCAACATTAAAGTCCATGTATCATATGTAACTAACCTAATATCAGAATACCTATTTTTTCATTTAAATGTTTGCGATAGTAACGCATGTCGTACCGGTACATATCAGGTCACATTATAGGAGAGAGGAAATCCCAAAATGACGGAAACTATGCGCTAAAAAACCAGGACTAAGGACGTTGAAATAAAGAGGGGCTCTTACCTTTTAAACCATTGAACCTATTTGGTGAAATTCGGTACAGCGATAGTTTGAGACCCGGGAAAGGACATCTAAAAGTTTTTAACCCGAAAAACCCACGAAACCGGGAACTGTGCTGTTAAAATCACTATATCTATTTGATTGAAATGCGATACAACATTGATTTGCAAACATAGAATAGTGAAACCTCACGAGACGGGCACTGTACGGGTAAAACCTCTTATGGGATTGTTTATTTTAGAAACCACGAAAATAAATTCATTTCTCAATAAATATAACCTAGGTACTGAATCGATTGTGTTGATATTTTGTTCCAGTTGTACAGCCGTAGAATATACCTTGACAAAGACTAATTTAAAAACCCAATTTATACAGAAGTCGCTATTTCACGCGGACGAAGTCGCGGGTAACAGCTAGTGTTTCATATTTTAAAGAAACTGTATTTCTATTTGATTCATAATACTATGACGTCACAATACATTAAAAAATAATCTTGTGCCAAAAAGACTCTTCAATATACATGAGTCGACTATCGTTTATGGCATTTAAATACCATAATTATTATAGGTTTTAATATCATAAAAAAACAGAATAGTTGTTATCAGATTTTATTAAAAAATATATATAGGTACACAATTTAATACAGACTCGTCTAAATTGCAATTATAAATAAATGATAACTGCATTAGACAATTATACAATAAACAAGTCGTCGATTATTCTTCATCTCTGTTGTCACCTTTTGATGTTGAGGTTGATTGTTCTTTCCCAATGATGTTTTCTCTCAAATTGTTCATTGCCAGTTATGTTATGAGTCCCATGCAAATAGGTGAGTTTTTTTGCATAATACCAGTCAGTCAATAGCTTCAATTTATTTTCAAAGTATAAGGTTTTTTAGCATATTAAAATATGCTGCAATTGGATTCGAACTTGCCTCCATCAAACCCTTTCGTTCCAAGTGCTTTTTGGTCCAGAATTGTCATTCAGTTCGAAGGAAATAGATACTCAATAATTTATATGCTAAAATAAAAAATAAGATAATTATATAAGGGTATATGTTTAAGGGTATATGGTCAAGATAGGTCGTGGGGAACAGCTGGGTGCAAGTCGCTTCCAACCGGTCGATCTGAAAGTCTTTAGCGAGGCCTATGTTTAGCATATGACGTGTAGTGACTGAGATAATGATAAATGTAGATAACTAAATGAATAAAATATGGAATGAAACGTTATTTAAATAGTAAATATAAAAAATCTATTTCAAGTGTCGTTTGTTATATCAATTTATCTTTCAATTGTTTTGTTGTTTTAGTGATAACACTAACGCAACATATTAAAACAATACCTGATATTGAATGATAAGAATGATTAAAAATGTATGGGGGTTCTAATATACGTAGCAGAAAGCGAAATTGAAGCGTTCTATGATCTTGTTAAGGTTTAGTTTTGAATAAGAAAGTTATTATGAAACAGATTATGAAGATATATAAATACATAAATAAAGTACCTACTTCATTACTTCAAACACTCTGCGGTCTTGCAGATTTCTCTAAAACAATCCTTTGTACAAACACTGTATTTTCATCTTTATCCTTATCGCTGCAAGGTCCATGGTCCTTTGCTCCACGTTTTTCCTTATTGTCACTGCGGCAAGGTTCATTTCCACAGCATTTTTCACAATCATCTTTTCTGCATCGTCGGTATCCTGGCCCATCATACTCATTTCGTTCTTTATGGCCACACGATGGGCAGGGTCCACGTCGACCACCCGAGGGGTGCGGGTAGCCAGGGCCGTAAGGGCGCCAATAAGGTCCATCCCAAGGACCCCCCGGGCCTCTACAAGGTCTATTCCAAGGACCTCTCCATGACCTTACATCGTAAATAGAAGGTCCATGTCGCCCAAACCCAAATGGTCCATGCATGAAGCCAAATCTACCACCGGGTCCTCGCCTGAAGTCTCTAGGTCCACAGGAACGTTCTTCTTCATCAGAATCCGAGCCGCAGCAGCGACCCCTTCCTTCACGTGAACCTCGTCTTTGATGGCCAGGATGATGATGTTCAGTACTCTCCCCATGTCCAAATGGTCCGAAACGGGGTCTGTGATGACAACCGTGGAAATCGGGCCCTCCAAAAGAGCCGAAAGGAGGCGGCCTCGCCCAATTACCCCATTCAACACTAAACTCTTGGAAACGTGGTGGGTGATCCATTTGGCCTCTCATCTCGATATCTTTTCTGAAGTGTTCTTGCGTTGACTGAATACACTCGAATGTCAGGCCTAGCGAGCCAAACTCCGTTTTATTGAAGTAACTGACGCAATATTGCGAAATCCATTTCGAATAGGGTTGCACTGAAATTTTCTGATGAAATTTTCCATAGAAATATTGAAATTTTCTCCAAACTGAATCATGTCACTTGACATAAACGATTGATTGCTGTCGTTTTCTTAGAAGGTAACAAGATTAATTTATAGATATACTTTTATAACTTGAGTTATAACAACTAATAGTCTGGTCACGTCATCCGCGGCTACGAAAATTCGCAACTACAAAAGCAAGATTTTCTCTCACGTTGCCATTAACTGTGGCCACGTCACGGTTAAAATTAACTTCATCAATCCTACACGTGGCGATACGTGGGTACACGTAAAAAATTCAGTGGTTGGAAAATTATACAAAAACGAAATCACTTCGTCGGGACAAATTATGACGTCAAAGCATTTATTCCAATTAAACTACATACATACAAAAGTGCCTGACTTTTGAATATCATATAAATCGAATTGTCGTCTGTTTGTCTGCAAGTGAAGCTAGGTGCTTGTTCCAAACACAGATTCGTATGGTCCCAAATCTCCATTTCGTAAGCCTAAAAGGTCAGATGTCCCTGGGCAGCACCGATTGCTTACCGGCAGGTAATCCGTCTGCTCGTTTGCTGTATATATGCAAAAGAAAAACATACGAGCAAAAAAATATATCCATTGGAATCTATTGTGACACTTCTTTTTTAAGGAAGGATAAATCACCTAATGACTTCTCCCGCCTTGGAAGAGGCGATATTTACTGACTAAAGACCCCGTTCCTTCTCCTGCTTCAAGCCAGAGCGTCCTATCTATCGCTTCGGGGAATAAAAGCCATCATAATATGTCGCATCTTTACAAAACATTGCGCAATATGCACTATGCAGGTTAATTCATGTACTTATTTTAAATAACTTGCACAATTTTCAGTTCAATTTCAACTATATGGACTAATGTTAGGAAATACTAATGCAATTTTCTTATTTTATGGCGACTGTGTTTAAAATTGTTTGTTCCAACGAACAACAATAACAAATCAGTAAACAAGCATATGAATTATCTAATGGTGAGCTATTGGCACCATGGATACCCTCAACCCCAGAGAATTTACAATATAGACAGAATCTAACCGCACTCATACGGTATTACCCCTGTGCAAACGTTGTATAAAGTCGATTTTTTATGAGGACGTGGTGGTACTCTGGTCGAGCCGGCGACTGATTTGTGCCGAAGCATGGCTCTTTCTCACAGGAAGCTAGGGCTTGTAATTGTGTTGTTCAATATTGAAATTGTCAGAAGTATGACGGAACCCGAATTTAACCACATTTAACCACAATTGGGTCATCCCCTATTAAATAAAACTAATATCTGAACCAGTACAATGCCACTATCTATAATATATATTGTTATTAGGTGACCCGGCTAATTTTTCACTCTCTTGGACTTCGAAATTTTAAACCTTCTCTGGACTTCGACTATTATCGTTCCCGAGTTTTAGACTAACAAAAGGAAATTATTTTTTTCTTTATTAATTGTACAACTAGAGAAAAAGTCATTCGTACCAAAACATAAAATAAATAAAAATATTTTTATGGTATGCAGCGTAAATTGACATAGGGATGTACAAATCAACATATAGGCAACATACAGCACCCTTCCGCACGTGTTCAGAACTATGTCAGTACAAGCACATTAGCATAATATGTGACGAGAGCAAACAGCAAATCAACATACACCAATAAGTCCAAACCTTTTGAAGGAATTCCAACTCAATCCTATTTGTAATAACGGCCATACTTCTATGAAATATTTTCATAGATTGGTATACACTGATGTGCATGATGTCTGCAAATATGTATGTGCGTCGTACGTGCCACGAGTTTTTCAAAGTTACACGTGTTCGCTTGCATCCGTAACTTTTTGAATACATTTATTTTCTGAATTATGTTGTTGAGTGCGAGTGACACTAAGTTGGAAATTTCAAAGTTGTAATTTTGTATGCAAACAGAATCTATGTAAGTATAATACACTAGCAGCCCGTCCCGGCTTCGCACGGGGTAGACAATTATTTATTTTTGGAAATTTGGATTGTTGTAGTGACATAACTACAATAGTTGGACATATGTATGATGTTCTTCAATATTATTGTACATTATTTTGTTCTATCGCTAATAGTTTCGGCAGCGCATTCGACGAAAGACATTTTAAGACTCATTTTTCGACACCTTCGGTTACATTGTTCAAATTTTACCAAGGATTCCTAATTTTTTTCAAAATGAAATGTAGCCTATGTCAAATTGGAAGAAAGTAGCATTCTATTGGTGAAAGAATTATTTAAATCAGCCCAGTACTTTTTGAGCTTATTCATTACAAACATACAAAAATAGGTACAAATCTTTCCTATTTATAATATTAGTATAGATAGGTACTATATACTATGACACACATATAATACATATGCCAGATTCAAACCTTCAAGAAAAGAGCGTATTCCTTTTTAAAAGGCCGGCAACCCACCTGTGACTCCTCTGGTGTTGCGGGTGTCCACGGGCGGCGCTGATCGCTTACCATCAGGTGATCCGTCAGCTCGTTTGCCTCCTATTCCATAAAAAAATACACTTTACTAAGTCTTACTGCCCGCGACTTCGTACGCGCAATCCCGTCTTCTCCTGTTCCCGTGGGATTTTCAGTCTTAAAAACCTTCTCCTAAAAATAACAAATACCACAAAAAAGAATTAGTGCAATCGGTCCGGCCATTCACACGTGATGCCGTGATGTAGGGAAATTCATCAAATATCATTTTTATATTTAGTTACAGAGATTTGTTTTTTCGGCTTACTTACATAAAAATTTGACGGTGAACAAGGAACGGGTATAGCAGCGTGACAGACGCCGTGTAGCGGGTCGCGAAATGCTGCTCATGAATATGAACCTCTAGCATGGCTGAAACTACGATCTCCGGCCATCGTAAGCGCAGGCCTGCGGACGGCGAGCATGGGTGGCTCCCCGTCCGACCTGAAACAGACCCGAGCGTACGGCGCGTCGCGCTCTGCGCGCGTCTCAAAGAGCCATCAGACCACCACAGATGGGGCCCAACAGGGCCGATGCCGATTCGGAGTTGCGGAGGACCTAACCGACTCGACGTGCAGAAGAAGGAACGGGGTGGTTTTTAGTCAGTAAGAGTCTGACACTCCCTCCCGCCTCACTTAGGCGGAAGCAGTCATTCGATGATTTTCCCAAAAAAAAAGCATGGCTGAAACTAGTCGAGTTCCTCGTCCAATTATTGCATGAGTAGGCCGAAAAATATAGCAATTAATTTAGTATGATAAACTTTGATAAATAAAACGTTAAGATTTCCATTTATTTATTTTTGCCATCTTGTTTTTCTTTTGTATTGTAATGTTTTGCTGGCCTAAGGATCCGCCTGGATCTGGATGTATAGGATACTGGGCCTTACGACTAAGAGAACACTAGTGTAGGGGTACAGGGCCATATAAAAATGTGATGTGAAGCTTTTTATGAATAAACACACAAGGGGTCTTAGGTTCGATTCGTGGGATCAGGAAAAGTATTACTAGGCTTTTAAAACAATCTTAATAGTATATATAGCCCGGTATATGGCAATAGGCTCACTACTATTATGTAGGACTCATAACATAAATAGTGAAGTGGTTAGTTACATTGTACAGTGGCGTTAAGTGCCGTAATGTGCATCTCTTCCTTTCCCATCGAGGATAAATGGCGTGATGTTATATTATGTCATTTTTTTTATTAACATGTGATAACGGAAATGTTGAATACATCCTGTCACCATCACCACCCTTGCTCTTCCCATAGGTATGAGCCGGCTAAGGAACTATACATTTGACAGAGACCATAGGCAGTCACCAGCACCTATAGTCTGAAACCAGAACCATTGAAACTACGGCCTTAAACCTGCTTGCCAAGCGAGGAACTTGTGGCAATACGCTCTTATATCCAAAGGTCAGTGCACTATCATGGGCCGTTGGTGATGGTAATAGCATCGCAATCACAAAAACAACCTTACTTAATAAGACTTAAATCAAGTATTACATTATACATACATCAACAGCCAATAAGTGGCCACTGCTGACCAATGACCTCGTCTCCCACGAAGAAGGTCTGAGCATTAATCACACTTCAATCATCAATGCGGGTTGCTGATTTCAAACTTATAATTACGAATTTTCGGCTCGACCGGAGTGATACCACGGCCTCACAGAAAACCGACGTGAAGCAACGCTTGCGTTGTGTTTCGTCGTGTGAGTGAGGTTACCGGAGGCCTAATTATTCTCCCCTTCCCCAATCTCCCCAATCCCTGAATTCCCAATGATCCTCAAATTCCTAATCCCCAAAAGGCCGGTAACGCCCCTGTAATACCTCCGGGCGACGTCGACTGCTTACCATCAGGTGATCCGTCTGCTCGTTATCCGGCTTAAGCCAAAAAAAAAATTCTAGGTCCAGATTTCCTCCCGATGTTTTCCTTGACCGTTTGTCAGTGATGTCTAAATAATCTTATCTTATCAAATTGATACTTGCTGTTGGTAATCTTCATGCATGAGAAGCGGGCGTCTTAGATCTCCGAGCCACCACTGCAAGTGACTCTGAGAGGACGAAGAGTGAGAGATAACTCAAGTATTATCAACAAACAAACAATTTTCTGTCATAGCAACATTATTTTAATAAAAAACTCTTGAAAAAATCTCAAGAACCAAGGTATAGCATAAAAGACATAAACATAAACACAAGGCCATTTAAATTTAGACCCAATTTTCGCAGTCTCAAGATACTTTTCAGAAATGATATTTCTTTAGGAGTCCAATTACGCAATGTTCTTCAAAAGCTAGGCCGATTCTGTGAGGATTCTGAATTCGGATCATTCAGAATTAGATTTGAGTGAGCGGCGTCATTTAAATTCTTTAATAATTGTTGGGTGGTGGTGCAAGGTAGAAGATTAAAGCGATGTGAAAATG